CTTCATCTTCTCTGGTCCTAATGAAAAGTAATACAAGTGAAGTACAGTATACTTAAAATATCATATAGCAGTATTTATTGGTGAGGGACTAAATTTTGTGAGTTGGCAAATTTTAGGAAAACACCAAATTAAAATTGCTTGTTATATTAGCTGCCATGTGGTAAGGGGTAATGAAGTCATCAAAATTTAACCTAAAAGTGACCAGTTAAGTCAATTTCGCCTTTCATCAAAAAATAAATCGGCTATACATGTACATGCAGTTTAACATTAAAATATTGAGATTATGACCTTTCAATAGTTCCACATAATATGTTTCCTTAATAGCACGAATTGTCTGATGATCAAGATATACTATACCAGGGTACACTCCTCTCTTTTCACGTAATCTCATCCTACACAATGAGTCACATGATAGTCACATAATAGTCACATGATGTACTTACTTGTCTAATTCAAGGTCACAGTCAATTCCTTGTACTTTTGCTTCTTCAATAATTTGTTTCTTAAATTCTTTCACTAGTGTGCCCTCAGCATAAATAGAATCCATCATATACTTACAAAACTAAAAAAATAAAATATAAAATTATAAAAATTAACATTCTTAATTACGTCTGTATTGTTAACTTGTAATAAATATAATTTAATTCTGGCTCTACCCAGTCGGGCCAGTCTTACTATCAACTATATAGGAGATAAAAGAAGTACTTTTAGTTCATACAATGTATAATAGAAAGGAGAAGTGAATCGAAATACTTTTGGTCCAGACATGATATTCATTAATCTCTCATCCAGTCCCTCCATTTCATATTCTTCATCATTTCTGATTTCATACACTCTAAAACCAGTAGGTGGTACACCAATCAGTGGAACTAGCTCCTTCTTTAATTGAGCTAATGTTATTCTCTTATTAACTTGTACTTGTATCTCTGCATTGAATAACATAATATTTAATAATCTTTATAATAATTATTACTTCTTTTAATTTCTTCATTTATTGATATAATTTTCATCATCATTCCTCCTTTAGGTACATTAGTTGTAGTGAGAGTGGCTTCAGGTTGAGGAGGAGGTAGTGTAATGTCCAATAGTATTATTGAGTTGAAGTGAAAATCAACATATTTGTACATCAAACTATCTTTGTACTTCTCTAAAAAATCTATAGGATCTGATGATACATATATCTAAGAAAGTAGAGAGCATGTGTGTGTATGAACAAAAACAGTAAGGAGGAGAAAAATATTAAAATATTGTATAGCATGTTCCTTTTGTTTGGCGAAACTAATTAACCTGACAAAGAAAACCCATAAGGAGACTGTAGAGCATAAAAGCATATACATGCACATCATTATGGTTAAACTGAATTCATCAAATCAGGCATGCATGATTGTCCTCACTTGTTCTAATGTATTGCATGATTGATAGTTATACTGTTGCAGTTCCCGGTTGACATACAGAGTGTGTGAGTAAATGTACACAAATAATAATTAGCACTTAAAGAATGTAATACATTATGAGGCTTCGCCCCTAACCATGCCCAACATACATACAAACAAACAGTACTTCCAGAGTAAGGGCTTTGCCCAATTAGCACTTACTGTTGGTACTACAAGTTGCTCTCTGTGTAGTTTGTGTGAACTGAATACATCTCCTTTAAACAGCACTTCCTTCAAAGAACTTTTAACATCTTCTAAATGTATAACATCACAGGCTGAGAGATTTCTATCAAGTATTAGTAATCTCATACATGATGAATTGAGATTAAATAACTAAAGATGAGATCGAGAGAGGGTAGGAGAGGAATGACCAATATAAAATAACAGTATATCCTTCCTCTTACTTCTCCTATATGTTGTTTTAATTTTCCAATAGTCCAACCTTCATCACCTCTCATTGGTTTAGTTGGTCCTATTTCACCAGTTGTCAGATCAACCACTGATATCTTTAGATTAATACCTACACCATCAAACACATGTACATGTAATTTAAGGAATTGTCATGGTAATCATACAAGCATACTCACCTCCAATATTGTATTTCTTAAAGGTCTCAATATCTCTACAAGTTTCTAGGAATAATCCACAATATCCAGCAACACCCATAAGTTTTCCTATAGTTTGATCCTGAAACTGAATATAATAATAAATATAACAATTATAGGATAAATATGTACCTTATCAAGATCAAAGGACTGTTCCATTACATGATTAATGAAATTATATTTAACTAAACGACATCTCTCAATAGGAACATGAGGAGCTAATTCCATTAACTGAGAAAGAAATGAGGAGAAAAGAAATAAAAGAATAAAATAGAAACAGATCAACTAAAAATAACAAACCTCATAAGCTGTATACAGTACTGTGGGTAGTAATTCATCTTTATGTACTTGAAATAATTTACTAGTTAATTCACCAGTAACAGGATGATTACAATATAATAAGAACTATAAATAAAAAGAAATTAGCGGTCTATTCCCTATTTCAGTCTCACTCACTGTACACATTTGACCCTCTTCATCACTTAGACCATCATACTCAATCTCTTCAACTTCAGACTCATCATCTTCAACTTCAGACTCATCCTCTTCAGCTTCAGACTCATCATCTTTAATATCTAGTCAACAATAACAATGACAATCATGACACACATATCATTACTACATGTATATAAACCTTCAATATCTTTCATGATCTTCTCATTGTGCTTCCTTGCAGTAATTAGTTCCATATTCATTAATGTTATTCTTTCTTGTAATTTCTCTATTATTCTTTTATTATCTACTAATGGCTGATAGTCTGGTCTTGTCATTGCTTCAAGACAGCATTTGCAGTCATCAATTTCAAGAGACATTCCTCTTCTCACTTTGCTAGCAGCTTTAATTGATTATATAATTATTAGTATAATTAAGAAAACTACTCTAACCTGAATCAGTATTACTAGAAAGTGAT